GACTGCTCCTTAAGTGCTCTTAAAGATAGAGATGAAAACAAATAAACAGCCTTTGATCCTTAGTTCTGAAGTACTACAGAGAAATCAATTATTACACAACTGAACTGGAGATGTGAAGCACTTGTCTCCTTCGTTATTGCTCTGGCAATCGAGATAAACTTGTCCATAGTGGACACAGCATGACTGCTTAGTTTTTACTGAAAGATGAGAAGAAATGAAGGTCTGTGTAAAGCACAATGTATAAAGTACTTTGAATAAATGCATGATACATTTCAGTTTCAAAGAGAAGAGATATATGATTTATCTTCTTTCTGTTTGAAATATAAGTACTGCAATTTGTTGTATAAAAATCTAGTGCAAATATATCCATAAAGGGTTAGTCAATTAATGGTATCTCATTTCTGGATAGGTTCCAACAGGATGAATAAACAACCAATGGCTAGTTGCTACAGCTAAAAAAAGGGGTCTAATTCTAGGGTTTTAGTTTATTTACTTTACACAGTGCCAGAGGAGGACTGGAACATTTGACCTTGGAGACAAACACAAACAACTGCCATTTTCAAGGTAGGGACAGTTTCCTGCAGGCTAAAGAAAGTGCAACACACAATGTCTGTGCCACAGGAAGTGGTGGCCTTGGTGGAGCCATATTTTCACATAAACATGCAAAAAAGGTCAATTGTAAGCAAATGAAGTATGAAGTATGTATGAAATGTACATGAGTTGAATAAGTTGATGATTGCTTTGTAAAAAATGGCAAGAGCTTACCTAAAAAATACCATGCCATTGTCACTAATAATCCTTAACACTCAGCTGCCATTAACAAATAAGCACAACAAATGTTACAGATTTGCATTCTTCCAGCATTGACGTCCTTTGCTAATCTCTTCATTTGTTTGCATAACATCTCAGAACTGCAAAGGAATTCTTTTCTCTGCCAGAAGATGTGATCACAGGTCAATCGGAGAGCAGATAGCTATGTAATGCTCACAGTGACTGCTGGTTCCACCCTGACTGAGGCCTTAATGGTGACGAGTCTCCAATCAGATCCACCAGCTCAACATATTATCTGTGCTGACCTGAGTGGAACATGATCCCTGCCTTAAGCTCGTAGCACTGGCTGGTAGCCCCTTTAGGCTCAGCAGGAGATCACACTCCACTGTAGATTTCAGCTCTTTCCCTGCTAGGAAATTGACAGAACATGAAGAGAAGAGCTAAGAATGATGTTGGTTGGCTGCTGCTGCAGCTTTAGACTGGAACCTGCCCTTAGCAAATAGTAGGGAGAATAGTGATTGGCCCCCACCATAGCCAGATTTGGGCCACCCAGAGTGAGAATGGAGAGCCCAGGGACAGAGTTGGAAACTACCAAGAGTTACAATGTGGGCAAAGGGGGATACAGTAGGGAGTCCCAATGTGCTGTGGCTGGTGTACAGGATACACAGCAAAGAGAGAGTATGCTTAAGCTCAGGGCAAAGCTTGTGTAGGAGCAGGGGAGCTGCAGGACTGTTGTTCCAGTGCTGCAGGGAAGGAAGAAACCATGATGCTGCAGAGCCACAAGAATAGAGATCCACAGATCAGCAAAAAGGTGCATGCTTGAAAGGGAGACCCAGAGCTTGGTGGACTGCCTTTTACCCTACATCCAGTTGGAGATACTGGGACCTATTTTCAATCTGCATCCATTCTGACTGTAGGAGCAACCATCGAGGAACAGACTGTGTCTAGGAGGACATCACCAAAGTATTAAGATGGTGAGAGGCTGATTGTGTATCTATAGCCAAAAGGGAATGCAAATATGTGATGAAGCCTTTATACAATAAAATTGTGCTTGCTCAGATCACATCGACGTCAGTGAAAACAGATGTAGGATAAAACATATGACTGATGACAGAAAGCTTTTTGATTTTGAAGACTTTTTTATCAAAACAGTGAGCAATATGCAGGGTGCAGCTATACACAATTGCTTTACAGTTTCTTTTCATTGATCTGACAGTACGTTAAGATCTGATTCGCTAGGTTATATTTTGCAAACCTGTGTACATTGTCTAGTTAATCGCTTGCTGACTGATGTCTGTATTAAAAGTCCTGTCAGCAAGTAGTTTACCAAGATCATGACTACAGCTGCAGCTATGATCCTTGTACTGTTTATTTTAGCTGAAAATCAGCTGTCATGTACAATGACCCGGGCAGCTTTATAGCCGCCTGGTCACTTTTACAGTTCTGGGAAGGAGCTCCCCTCCTGCGGTTCCTCTGGGAGGCCTAGGACTGCTGTAAAAGGTCTGGATGCCTTGTCACAGAGGAGATTAGGGAACATTTTCCAATCTCCTCTGTTATGAATGAAGCCAGAAGCGAGAAGGATTTAATCACTTCCGGCATGAGAGCTGTAATTTCCTGGCTGTTACAGCTAGATAAGCCGCTGATCAAATACAATGTGTGTTTGATCAGCTGCTTTGAGGGGCAGGAGAGTCATCAGTGGTCTAATAGATCCCTGATGTTTCCATAAAGAGTAACTGTCACTTGCCCAAAACCCTTACAAGTGAGCTTGTGATAGCAATGAAGTTAAATGAAAATAAATAGTTTAAAAAGTGTAAAATAAGTATTATCTATGAACAGTTTTAAGTACTCTAGTTTGTCGCCATTTCATGGCTGTGCAAAATTTTACATTTTGACATGTTTGGTATCACTTGATGCAACATCATCTTTTATGTTTTACCAAAATGCTGGGTATTGTATTGTGTGTTTATGCACTAAAACACATTTTAATGTATTTTTTCTTGAAAATGTGCTAAAAAATCTGTGCAAATACCGTGTGATATAAAAAAAATTGCAACAGCCATGGTTTTATTCTCCAGGGCCTCTGCTTTAAAAAAAAATATATACTATTTGAGGGTTCTAAGTAATTTTCTAGCAATATATAAAGATTTTAACATTTATGTGAAAAATTTCAAAACTGACCAAGGCAGCAAGTGGTTAAACAAGTCCAGCTAAATGGCTTATTCAGTAAAGCAGAACAAGGTGTAATAGCTATGCAAAAAATGTAGTGTATTCACTCTAGCCAATTAGATTTTAGTTTCCATGAATTCAGATCAGGGAAAGATAAGTCCTGGTGTGTCCATAGGGTGCTGCACTTTGCACAGAATTATCGTGAAGCCTTATTAAATCCTTGTGATTATCTGTTTCAAACGTGGAGTAATATGCCATTTTTATCTGCTTTCTTTCATGTTTCATTAAAATTTAAATGACCCCCACTGTGTTCATTAAGAACAGTTTTAGTAAATCTGAGATGAAACAATATACATGAAACTCAAACCAAAATGAGGGCAGCCAAAGGGCTCTAAAATATTCCTTGTAGATTCAGTAAAATAAATGTACCATACTGTATTATTCATACATTAGCTTTATGGCCAAGTTTCATTACTTTAGAAATGAAAATTATTCTAAAGGACATTTGTCTCTTATGGCTTTGCTGAAACATTTTGTGTGAAGACACCGTTACATTATTGATTAATCAACCATCTGTGATGACCATTTATTGCCATTTTAAATATTCAGTTGATGCTTTTTTGATAAGAATAACTGGAATATAATTTATCTAATAAGGAGGAGGGACAGGTAACATACATTAAAATAAAAGTTAGCTTGTGCTTGATGACCAGTAGATATCTAAAATGAGGGACAATATTTTATTTCCTTTTAGTATGAGTGATTGAAATGATCAAGTATTTGTGATGGTGTAATTTGTTCCAGAATCCCATGCAGCAACATAAGATGTCGTGATTTTCAATAGACTCTATGTGAAGGCTAGAGATATCATCAGTATTATGACTGATGGGAATTTAAATGTGTGTTTTGGGTTTTTAATAACATCTTTATAACATTTCAATTAGGAATGGTTTTAACTTTAAATAGGAACAAAAACAAATAAATAAATGAATGAACAAATAAATAAATACATACATAAATATGTAGCACTACTTTCCTATTTAACATCCTTGAGGGCCATTTAACAGCCTTGAGGGCCTCAGGTGCAAGCGACCCCTACCATTCTGGTACAAGCCCCTATGGCCTCTAACTCTGTGCCAGCAGTGTGAGGGATTAGTTCCAACGATCTTGGAAAATATCAGAAATGGGCTCTTCTTTATCACCACCAGTACCCCAGGCAGTGGTGCTGGAACTGGGGAGATATTTTATGTGCAACTTACCTGTGTCCTTGGAGGAACTAGCTACCACCTTTAGGTGAACATATAAATTTGCCCTTTGACCTTCTTACATAGCATATAAAAAATGAAAATGAATTGCAACTCACTGGTAAAAATCCCCCCTACTATACCCATCCATAACTATAACCTTCAAAGCAAAAAAAAAAAAAAAAACAGGGCACACTCTCCTCGTGCATTACCGTGATAAAAAAAATTTATTTTAAAAAAAAAATGCATACTCACAAGCCAAAAAGTTCACAAAAACAGAGACAAGGAGTCAAAAGCTGCCAGTCATAGGCAACAATGGTCCTCGGATGAAGTGCTAATGCTTTTCGGGAGTCAAACTTCCTTCCTTCACCTGAGGACCATTGTTGCCTATGACTGACAGCTTTTGACTCTGTATTTATAACCTTTTTGGCTTGTGAGTATCCAGTTTTTTTAATAAATTTCTTATTATCGCGGTAATGCACAAGGAGAGTGCACCATGTTTTGTTCTTTTCTGCTAGTATCAAGATTCCCAGATCTATCAAGGGTGGCACCTCAGCAAGTGCTGGATTTCATATTTTTGAGTGCAGCAAGAAGGATTTGAGTGCTGGTTTCTGGTTACTGTTGGAGTTTTCAAAGAAAAATTTTTTTACTAATCTTAACCACCTTCCGCCCGCCATATAGTAATATGACGGCCGCAAGGTGGTTCTCTCGTTCTGGGAGGACGTCATATGATGTCCTCCCATTCTCACCGCGCATGCGCAGCGTGGCGATCAGCGGTGCGCTGTGTCCCTTGGACACAGCGGATCACCGATCATGGAAAGAGCCAAAGATGTCAGCTCGGTCATGTGATCAGCTGTGTCCAATCACAGCTGATCACATGTAAACAGGGAAATGCCGGTTATCGGCATTTCTCTTCCTTTCGAGCTGTCACGCTGACAGCTCAAGAGGAGAGGAGAGCCGGTAATCGGCATTCCGCGGAGGGGACATGTACACTGATCATCAGGGCACTGACGATCAATGTGCCCTGATGATCAGTGTAACCCCAGAAGTGCCACCTGTCAGTGTCCATTGTGTCAGTGCTCATCAGTGCCTCGTGCCAGTGCACATCAATGCCACATATCAGTGCTACCAGTGCACATCAATGCCACATATCAGTGCCCATCTGAGCTGCCATTCAGTGTCACCCATCAGTGCCAGTCAGTGCCGCCTATCAGTGCCAGTCAGTGCCACCTATCAGTGCGCATCAGTGCCGCCTATCAGTGCCTGTCAGTGTCGCCTATCAGTGCCGCCTATCAGTGCTGCCTATCAGTCCCATATGTCAGTGCCATGTATCAGTGCTGCCTTTCAGTGCCCATCAGTGATGCCTGTCAATGCCCATCAGTGCCACCTACCAGTGCCTCCTCACCAGTGCCCATCAGTGCCACCTATCAGTGTCTATCAGTGCAGCCATAAGTGCCCATCACTGCAGCCTCATTAGCGCACATCAGTGAAGGAAAAAAATCACTTATTTACAAAATGTTATAACAAAAACTAAGAAAAAACTTTTTTTTTTCAAAATTTTCAGTGGTTTTTGGTTTGTTTAAGAAAAAATAAAAAACCCAGAGGTGATTAAATACCACCAAAATAAAGCTCTATCGGTCACAAAAAAATGATAAAAATTTCATATGGGTACAGTGTTGCATGACCGCACAATTGTCATTCAAAGTGCGACAGCGCTGAAAGCTGGAAATTGGCCTGGGCAGGAAGGGGGTATAAGTGCCCAGTAGGCTAGTGGTTAAAGGGTTATAAGGAATGAAGTGGAACCATAGGGGGGTACTATGGAAACTATAATAGCAACTTGTGCCGCATCCTATAGTTAAAATGTAATATCACAAATTAAAGAATCATGGACTTTATAGGCACATACTGTACACTTCAAGAAACATTAAAAAAAAATGTCATCTTTATTCTAATACTTTATTCTTTAAAGAAGGACAACAATCCATAAAAATTAGCACCCTAAGTAATTCACATAGCCAAGTGATACCCAAAGGCCACAAATATCTGTAGTGCCTGTTTTCTGCCAAAAGTGTTTTTTTTTTTTTTCCAAATTCTAATTGTAGCTTGCTCTACGTGTTTTGCGACAAATAATCTATCCCCCTAGAGCTAAAATGGTGCATTAACGTAGACAAGTAAGTACATTTTCACCATATATGCATACATTTCAGGTAACAGTTGTCTCTAAATATTAAATAAGTAGTCACTTACAATTTAAGAATTGAAAAAAAAACAGGGTAAAGCGGGGAGGCGCAAAAACCAATAGGGGTGCTGAGTCCAATAACTGGATGTGGAGGCACATCAAGGAGCTGTGGACGACATTATAGGTGATCGAGTAGGTACAGTATATAATAGAGTACAATACATATATCAGTATGGTTATACATAAACTCCAACCAATAAATTGCTATCACTGCACTTACACATGACAGATCAATTCAAGTATTAAAAAAAAAGTATTGTAATAAGGAAATGTAATTTTTAAAAATGTTTCTTGAAGCGCATGTGCCTATAAAGTCCATGATATTCAAATTTAAAGGATCTCCTTTCTTTCACATTCCATGGCTCACCACGTCTTAAAAAATATGGAGGATTCATTTGGGGTGAAACACTGCCCCTCATCTTACATCTACAATGTAGATGATAAGCAGCAAATTAATGAGAATGAAAAAAGAATCTTTTTAGTATTTGGAGTTAATCACTCCCTATGTCCTGACTATATAATTAGCCCATTAACCCTCAAGGGTGCTTTGTATTAACACTCATTTTTTGATCATAATGTTTTCTAATAAATGATTGAGCTAACAGGGGAAACATTTGTTTTTTATATCTAAAAATTATCTTTAGTTTTGATGAGTGAAAAAAAAAAAACACAAGTCTATTTATGAATAACTTGTGAGGGAGTAGCAATTTACCTTAGGGCTGTCACTTTAAAAAATCTGCCAAGTACTGAAGGGCATAGAGGCTAGTATCAGCCTGCCTGGAGGCCTGCATACAGTTGGCACAACATCCAAATGTAGCCTAACATCTCTAATAATATCTAAAGGTTGTTAAACCTGTTTGAGTGAGTCAGACCTTACAGTGGATCACTTTGAGTGATTGGGGTTATAAATGGTTACATATGTACAGTAGTAGTTCTAGTTTGATTTTGGCACCTGTAGTTCCATGCAAAATTGTATAGAGCCAATCTTTGTCGTTGATAACTAAATACCTTTCCAGTATTTGTAGGTTTTAGCGGCTAACTACTTATCCTGTGTTGTTCTAGATTTAATTTTTTTACCTGTTCCCAAAGATAATGTGTTATGTATGATACTAAGTAACCTTTTTTTAAAAAAAAATAAAAATCTTGAATCTACTAAACAAATATATAAGAAATGAAGACTATCACATTTCATTTTAAGTATGCTGAGTGTAATTATTGTCACCATGGATTTATTTAAATTACAGTAATTATCTTTGAAGTGTATTTTTTTATTTCTTCAGTTTCAGTAAGTTTTCATTTAAACATTTTCATCAATAATACATGTAAAGATAAAAAAAATAAGAGGAACAAAGCACTATGCAACATATTAAAAAGAATCACCCTTTGAGAAGAAGTGGTAAAGTGTAACAATCCACAACAGATAGGGACCTCCATCTACACCAGCACTTGTGTGATGTCTGTTTTTGCATAAGTGAACCTCTGCTAACAGTTCAGCCCCAACTACAGGTCATAAGAGAAGAGAGAAAGACCAATCATAAAGAGAAACAGGTTAACGAGAGAAAAAAAGTAGGAGGTAGCTTATGAAGGGGTGGGGCAATATAGAATTAAGGAAAGGGAATGAGGAAGACCAGTCAAATCACCACTACGCTTGATGCCATTTTCCATTGAACTGGGTGGATGTTAGATAGTCCATAACAGATTAGCAAAATCACCAGGGAAATAGTGAGTAATCAAGTGGGACCACAATTTTTTACATTTCTTAGCTTTACCATTGAGTAAAACCTTCATCTTTCACTCACTAGATACCATATTTTGTTTGATTTGCTCACCAATGAGGTGCCCGATCACCAGGCTTTGGCCAGGTTTTGTTTGGCCCCATTGATTTGAGAGATAAGGCTTCATATGGATTCTTAGATATTTTAGGACCCAATACAGCATTTACTAGTTGATAGACTCTAGTCATATGTATAAGCTAGTGTATCCACTGCATTACAGTCTCTGAAAGAGAGCTGAGTCACCTCGCTTGAAACGATCTAATCTTCATTATATCATGCACCAGCAAAGTAAAATATTACTGCAGTAAACATGGTGTTAAGTGGTCCACCGGCTATTGTGTCCCATATTTGGGACCAATGATGTGACTCTAAAGAGCTATCAAGGTTTCACTCCCCTAGGTAAACCTAAGATACAGGGTGGTGTTTAAAATCACTTTCCTGGAGGGAGCTGTAGATTGTAGAAGTGTAGATTGTAGAGTAAGAGGCAGCAGGTTATCAGTATTTTTTAGGATGGACTGCATGTAATTGCAAATATGCATATAACAGAACAGTTCAGTTGGAGGAGCACGGTGGGCTGAATATATAGAGGAGAAATTGTGAACCTTCTACTAAGTAAACACTTCATAAACCCTTTGCAATCCTTCTTTGATCCACCACGTAAATCTTTGTAAATCTACAAGGTTATTCATATCCTGGGGAGTCCTAAGTCTTTAAGGAATATCTATATTTCAGGTCAGTAATGTGCCTACGCAAAGTGGGGAAATCTAAAGGATGAAATCTCTTGCTGTTGGTGCTAGCAGGCATGCCTCTAGCTGATCCACAGGGGGACAATGGTGAATGCATGGTATGATATTAATAATACTAATTGTGCTGCCTGGCAATACTTGATAATATGTTGAATTGCTAGTCCTCCCCTAGGCTTCAGGCAACAAAGAATATGTTTAGGAACTCTCAATTTTGAATCAAGCCAAATAAACTTCAAGGCCACTCTTATTTATTTATAGAATGTGCAGGGGCACAGAAACAAGAAAGGGTAGAGTAATTTAGGGAGCAAAGTCATCTTCAAAGTCACTATCCTACCCAGCCAAGATATTCAATATTTCTTCCAGGATTCAAGAGTAAACATCATCTGCCATAAGAAAGAGATGTAATTGGCCATGTAAAGCCTTTCATAAGAAGATGGAAAGTATATCCCTAAACAGGGAAAATGAGATTCCTTGAAGCTAAAAGTTAAATTTTCCTTCATGTTCTGGACATGAGTACTGGTGAGAGAAATATTTAAAGTGATTGTAAAGTTAATGAAAAAAAAAATATAAACATATTATACTTACCTTCTCTGTGTAATGGAATTGTATAGAGCATCCCCAAAACTCCTCTTCTTGACTCCCCCACCAGTGCTCCTGACTCCTTCTCTTCTGCGAGTGCCCCCATAGTAAGCTGCTTGCTGTGTGAGCACTTATGTGGATTAATTCTAAGATGTGCTGCTTGCTTTCATAGACTCAGGCAGCATGGCTCCCTAGTCACAGGATTTGACTGACAGCAGTGTGAGCCAATGGTTCCCATTGCCTCAGCTATGCCTGTGAGAGTGGGAAGAGAAGATAGAGCCCCTGCAGGCACAGTGTCAGATGGAATGAGGTAAGTATAAGGGGAGTGTTAGGGATCCGGGTATCACCAGAAATGTGTGGACTGACACAGGGAAGTAGCAGGCTTCAGGAACACAGGCTTAGTCAGGGCTGGAGAGGTGGAATGGTCAGGCAGGCCGTTAGGTACTGTCAGGCACCGCCCGGCGGGATCTCTAGTACCCACAGAACGGGATTCCCCAGGGCGCGGAGTCTAAGCCCCAGTCTGCCTTTTCACCAGAGCCCCTGATGGTGGGGATGGACTTGGCGCAGGACTGAGACCAGGTCGCGGCCCCTGAGTGCACCCAACTGTAGTAGAGGGGTCTGCCGAGGGTATGTACCGTGGGAAAGCCTGACGTGAAGAGGCTAGCAGACCTGGTAACAGGGACAGATCCGTGTGGGATGGATGGATGGATTGTCTGGGTAGCGCCAGTTCTAGTCAGGCAGGCCAGGTCAGCAACGTGTGGGCAGCAAGGTACCGGAGGAGCAGGCAGGGAATAGTCAGGGTCACAAGCCGGGTTCAGTAACTCACGGGCAGCGCGGTACAGAGGATCAGGCAGAAGGATGGTCAGGCAAGCCAGGGATCAAGCAGGAGAAGTCAGCAGAGGTCAGGATCAGGCAGGGTCG